AGTTTCTTCATGGCGATTCGTGACATTCGGATACAGCCAAAGCATGTGTTGCTTTGAGATTTGAATATCGCCACCTCCTCCTTCTCTTCCTTTGAGTACCAATGAGGATCAGGATCCTCTCCTAAGTAGATGGAGAAGATCCTCTTGACTAGGCCCATCGGACCGTTCAATTTTTATCCAACGGCTACAAACAGGAAATTCCTTTAAAAGTTATAATAATTACAGCCGTTGCATAAAAATTGAACGATCCAATGGGCCTGATCAGGAGGATCCTCTCCATCTGGTCAAGAGAGGATCCTGATCCTACCAATGAAACGACAAAAAAGAAAGGAAGGAATCACCGAAATCAACGCCGTTTAGGCTCACGTGCCCAATGACATTACATCATTTAAAGAAGAAGACGATTCCAACACATCAACATGCATGCATGCATATATTGATCATATTTATAGAAGAATGCTAATATTTATAACTAGTTATTTACTTAATTGTGCATAACTCCATTGCAGTAGCGAGTTTTTGTTGTCTCACTATGAACATTTGTACATATCTTATTATTTATAAAACTAAAAAGAGAAATAAATGTTATCGGTACTATAAACACAAGCATGCATGCATGCATGATGCATCCATCAAGATCGCTGGCCAATGTGGCTGATTGGGTAGAAATAAATTTCCCGATGCCTTTGAGTGATACTGGACATTTTTCGTTATCAAGGAATTAAAAGATGCTCTACTGAAGAAGGAAAAGCTGACGGACGTCAATAGTCATTCTCCAAACTAACAATAATGCAGTCAAAACACAACTTAAAAGGTTGATCAACATTTGAAAACTCGATTTGGCCTGGTTCTTCTTATCACTTTTGGTCCTACACTTCTGATTCAATAGCAACTTCATGCCAAGTTTTTTCAAACAAAAACAGAAAGGCAGCTACCTAGATTTACCAAGCTGAGCTGAAAGTGAAGCCAATTTACAAATAAAAATTAAACATTAATAAAAGAAGAATGCATGAGCTCAGAGCCTACGCAAAATCTTGAAACTTGAGACTTTCTTCTGCATTTTAAAATTGGCTGGACAATACCTTCACCTTCGATGGTAGCTAAACAGGTCTGTAGTCAATCCATGCACACAAATAATTAGAGGTCCATTGGGTATTTAAATTAGGTCTAACCCTATTTTGTATGGTTTAGTGTGATTATTCAGTCAGCTCTGTGTCATTCCATGCCTTATAAGTTAAGTTTGATATAAATATGTATTTATGAGTTAAGTCAGTAAATTAGGACAATATATTTACAAAAAGAAACTAATACAAACGTTTTCATGCTCATCATTCTTTTGGCATGTGTTTCTTTCTAGCTCTTTAATTTTTTTTTGCTAATACGCACATATATTCCTACTCGTGCTCTCTCTCTCAGCATCTTTTCTCGCATTCTTGAAAAAACCCTAATTAATTTAGGAACTCCACAGTCGTCGGCCCGTTGTTCCAGCTTGGGGCCAGTGGCAGTCCTTCTCATCTTTTTCCCAGCCTCCCTTTCACCTCCCCGCTATCCTCTCTCCACCCTTATTTCACCCCTTTTGTTTCTTCCATCTCCCCTCAGCCTTCTTGCCGCCACCCCCTCTCCTGCATCTTGTATATCCTCTCATTCTCCCTTTTCCTGACCTAACGATGTCTCCAACACTCTTTTTGGTTGGGTTAAGCCAGATTATTATCGTTCTTCACGATAATGGGCCAATTTTATTGTGCTTAACTGTCGAGGGTATTGGCCAAGGGTTTTTCCCGGGAATAGTTTGATTGGGTGCTCGGGGTGGTTTGATGCCCAAATCTGAAGGCACGATTTCCTCTCCGCGGCTTATGGGTTCGTGGTGGTGGCAGGCAACAGCGTCGCACGTCGGTGGCTTTGGCTTGGCAACCTCTATCCACACACACTACTGTTATTGTCCTTGCTACAACTGTGACCCACGCTGGCCGACGAAATTAAAATTCTAAAACGGTTTCTAGTGTCAACAGATTTGTGCTCGGGTATGGTTTGTGGTGTTGTCGTTGTGTTTAGGTCCACGATAGTGGCTTTGGCTGGAATCCCTCTGCGACCGACCCTTCTGTGTGTTGTCCTTGCTAAAACTAACGACCCACATTCCCTGTTACCCACACCTCTAGCCATCTCTGTACCTGCATCTCCTTCGTAGAAACATCATCGGCTTTAGCTTAGGTTTTTCAGTTTAATTTATGTTTCGTGCTTGTACTGCCTAGAGTGAGTTTGTGTCACCTTGGCGATTTGAGGTGGCCTTGCTTATTGAGGTGGTTTTATGTAAAGGTCCCGTGGTAAGGTTTGTCATGCCTATCGTTTTTTGTGACAAATCTACTCCGGGACAGTACTGGTTCTAGTGGTCTTTTGTGGCGACCATATAGGGTTTAAATTCATTTGTGTTTGTGCGAATTTTCTCCAGGTCAAGAAGTTGGTCACAGGAGAATATGTATCCATCTGGCACCTGTTATTCTTGTTCTTGGTAATGAAAATTTAGATTTTTTTTCTTTGAAGAATGTATATACTTATTTCAACTTCAAATAATTTACAAGAAAACGAGAAATCCCTTTCCATTCTGTCGATTTTGAACGCTTTCATTCAATTAATATTCCGAACGTAGTTTTCCATCATTTTCCATTCCATTTCCCATGCAGTGAACCTGTGATAATTCATCTGCAGCTTAAGCCCTGGTTTTAGTCCTGTTTTCAATTATGAAAAATTTGATGGCTTTCCGCTAAGCATTTAGTTGTATATGGGGATCATACATCCCAATCGCTTAAAATCCTTAGCTCTCTTTTCTCTTTTGGAATTAATAAACTTCTTGTTTGCTTGGGAAAGATCCTTTGAGTATTCCCGTGACACTGTCTCTCTCTCATTTTCCCCATAGTTGTACTCTGGACCACACAAATTAAATATAAATTTGTAGTAAATATATACCCCCTATAAAGGAGCATCTTCTTAGCATGAATTTCGTTTTTACTGTAGCAAAAATGAGATAATACATGATTATTGCAGAGAACTAAGATAATACATGACTATTGCAGAGAAATATGCATTCACCACATAAGATCTCTCGTATATTTCACTGTTTCTCTCATTTTTTTTTTCTCCTAAATACGAAGAACATGTCGTAACTATATATAGTCCTTACTAGATTAGAGTAAAATGCAATCTCTGCTAAAAATAGCTAATCTATATTTGTTCCAAACCTCCAAAGCACCATCATATATTTCCTTTTTTTTTTTTACTCTTTCTCACACTCATATATATGGGAATTAGGGGTGTCCCATCTGTGCTGGCAATTGTCTTGCTTCGCATCTATAGCATAGAGGAAAAAACTCATCAACCTTAAACGTCAACATCCATCCAACAATATATCCACATTTGCCGCTATCCTGAAACATCCACTTGATCAAATTGGTCGTGTTCGAATTATTATCTTTTAGTATCAAGAAATGTAAATATTATAATAATCACACTGGTGAGAAAGACATCAAAGAGTAGAAACGAAATAGGTCGTTGTTCATGTTTACTGTCTACAGTGTTGTGGCCGGAAATGCCACCTGAACAGTCAAATGATTCCTGAATTGGCATAATATTAGACATAAATTAGAAGGAAAAAAAGGTCACAATTAGAGTCTAATTATTAAAAAAACCAAATATAAAATGGTACTTAAGAAAGAAAACAAATGGAAGCTTTCAACTACGAAATGCAAGACATATGCAGTGATCTGGTTAATAAGTAGATTAATTACATGCATCCAAGTGTGGCCTGCAAGTATTTTCTTTTTAAATTTATTTTCTTCTCTTTGGAGCATAGACATGGCATAAAACCCTAGCTAAAGTTTTATAGATAATGGTGGACCATGTGTGGTCAGGGAGAAGTGGTGAAACAGTCAAGGCCCTGGCAGAAAAGACAGTCGTGGAATCTGGAATTTCTGGTAAGAGATCAAATTCGATCTCAATTTTTCAATGGGAAATATGGAATCCACTATGAGCGAATTATTGTGTTTGTAGTTATTTGATAAGATAACAATTATTTCCCGAAAAACAAATTTAGTTTTTGTTATTGACATTTGATAATAATGAGAGACAAATGAATAATTAATAATTAGTGATCCTAACTAAAAGAAGGGCTTGAATCCCGTTTTGATCCCTGTGTTAGTTCAATTTTTATGTATGTGCTTTTCGTATGACTCAATTTTTCATTGTGTTGCATTTTTATACGTTAACCATTTTGATCATTTACATCTAATATAAGTGTTAATATGCGTAATTGGGAGATAAATATCTACGGCATGCTCTAAAATGTTATGTGAGCTCCTTGATGGCCTCATGCCTTTATTTAATCTAGTCAGGCGGGCTTTAATTGCCTCACAAGCAAACAACACAATGGCCAAATTGTTCAAATTCAAAGAACAGTGACCAAAGTGGTCATACGATCTCTTTCAACTTTCACTCAAGTGCCAAGGAAACTGTTTTTCTTCCAGAAGCCCTTATTGATAACAAATACAACTAATAAAGAACAAACCCAATAGCACAATCAACTGTTACGGACAATTGACACATGTACAGTTAACATGATGCCCTTTGGCATCATATCAAGTGGTATTTAATCTTTTTTTATTTATTAGAAGCGAAATTTCATATTGATCTACACTAAGCAGAGAGGGAAAAAAAAGAGTTTAAATTCGAAATAAAGTAAATTAAAGAAAAATACGCTAATCACTAGTACAGTCCACCACATATCATTGGTACCCTAAGCTAAACCACCAATATTCTCGTTTGGATGAAAAAACCGCCAACCCCTTTTCCGCTATCTGTATGTTTCGGTTTCTCCGCCGGCCCATTAACACTAACAGACACTCCATTTGCATGGGCCCAGTATACGTTTGCTATGGGTAAATGAGGCCCATAAACCAAATGGGCCTGGGTCAAGTTAATCGAAGTTCAAAACCGAACGAACGGGTCCTCAACTCACCCAAATTTTAGTCGAGGATCGAGATCGCACTGCGAGATTTAGTCCGTCTGAGAGTCTTCGACTGAGAGAAAGAGAGGAGGAAGAAGAAGACGGAGCGAAATGACGGTGTTTCACTTCTTCAACTGCGCCATTCTGACGTTCGGCCCTCACGCCGTCTACTACTCCGCCACGCCGCTGTACATCCCTCCTACTTTTCTTTTCTTTTTTTGTTCGGATTTTTTACGCTCTCACAAATCACACTCAATTCACTTCGTCTTCTTCCCCAAATCAAAACCCTAACCCGATTGTGCGATTTAATTGTGCAGATCGGAGTACGATACGCTCGGTACTTCCGTCAAAGCAGCTTTGGTTTATCTCGGAACAGCTTTGGTGAAGGTTCGTTAGTATTAATTCGTGGTTAATTCAACTGATATGATTAGAAAAATCGCATTTTTATGTAAAATTATAGTACTTTGATGTAATTTCAACAGAAATGGCTGCTGATGGTTTTTGTTTATTAAATCTGTGTTCTGCAGCTGGTTTGTTTGGCAACTTTTCTGAAGGTATCTGACAATGAGAGCTTCGATCCGTATCAGGTATTTTCTATATTTGTTTCAATTGAAATGTATCTTTCCAAATAGAAATGTCGATTTTCGATAAGTTCATGCTGGTTCCCATGTTTGTAGATGAAGTTTTATCGTAATTTGGTTAGTGTTGCATTTAAAGATTATAAATTTAGACTGAAATAAGCAAATTCTTAATGTCTTTTTTCGGGTTTCAGGAATTGTTGAAAGCTTTAATCGGTTTTATAGACGTTGCTGGACTTTACTATGCTTTGACTCAGCTGACCCACAGGAATATCTCTCAGAATCATAAATTTCAAGCTGTGGGACTTGGTGAGTAGCGTGTGGAAAACGAAAATGATAAGTTTTTATTTATTTTAGAACAATTTTGAAGCTTTTTGTTCCCTATTTGCAGGATGGGCTTTTGCTGATTCTGTTCTCCATAGATTGGCACCGCTATGGGTGGGTGCTAGAGGACTAGAATTCACCTGGGATTACATTCTCCAAGGCCTTGAAGCAAATGCCAATCTGGTAATCAATTGTTTAGTTTCTTTGTTTCTTACATTGTAGTTTTCTTATCAAACATGTCGGCCAGAATGCTCGTTGATAGGTTTGTGGATAGAGAATGCTAAAATCCCCTTTGACTTTGGGATCCTGAAAGTGACATAATGATTTCATGTTAGGCATACCTCAATTATATGTCCTATTTTAACAAACTTGATTAATATAACTTCAATTTTTTTTCTTCTTTAATGGATTAAATTTGCCTATCTTTGTTAATAAGTTCCTGTTCACTCTCTTTATTCAGGTCTTGAGTATATCACTTGCTGCATTTGGATCTTTGATGTGGCTTCGAAAAAACAAGCCTAAGATTATGATTCCTTTAATATATGTATGTGCAGGAGTTGTGGCAACCATGCCATCTATCACAAGGTCAGCTTCTTAACTTCCCTTAGTTCTACCACTGCTTGAAAAATTCTTTGCTTTAAACAACTACTCATCGCTACGGCACATTGATACTCTAGGCAACGTATTTCTTTCCCTTTCCCTTAAAAATAGTGATAACTCTATGTCCCACAAATTCTAAACCTACCTTCCTCTTTCGTTTTCAAATTCTGATTGGTAGGGCTGGTTCCGTTCATCAATTGTCAAGTGTAACAACTAGATTGCACTCTTTTTAAGTTTCTCTCCCTTGTCTAACTCACTTATCGTTTATGCAGCTATCTGAGGCGAGGCCTGGGTTGGCAATTTCCGGATGTGGTAGTGTTTGAACTAGGTACCTCTCTATTGATGGCCCTCATCAGTTGGCAGCTCTTTGCTTATTGTCAGAGACCCTCTGCCCGAAACAACCAATCATAACCCCCCAACATATGACTACCAGTCAGAAAAGGTCTTCAGGATTAGAATATCCTCTGTTCTCTGTTTCTTCGAATGGTTACCCTTTGGTTTTATTATTTTAAATCATTGGTATGTAGAGATTATTCTTTTATCTAATTTTGATCAACAGACCTTTAATGATTTCGCAATCTGAGAGCATCAGCGTATTTGTTGCAACTTTATATCAGTTTCTACTGGTGTACTCACCAGGATTTTTGGGTTGAAGATGGAGATAAACGTACTTTTATATCGCATATTTCCCCTTCAGTGAGTGTTGGAACACTGACATCTTACCATGAATTTTATGGATATAATCGTATTCTGCAGAGTCGTGCGGTCTTTTCTATTTATGTATTTACAAATTGGGATCTGATCCACAGATTGTTAGTTGCTGTGTGTCAATTTAGTCATAGGTGTGTCACCGTCTTGCTCAGGGTGCACGAAATCTGTTTGTTTTTCGGTTCCATTCAAAATATTTGGGTTTGACAGTGTCTGCAAAAGCATGGTCGTTTAGTTCTTCCGTCACGCAGTCGTTTGTCTGCAAAAATGCCTTCTTTTCGGAGAAGGATGACAATCCAATTGCAACCTCAAACCCTAAACAGGCTAGCAGATGTTGCCACCACTGCATGAAGAAGTAATGCAAATTTGCAGTTAATTGGCTTCAATTAGAGACATGTGGAGCTGTAAGTAGCACATTGCCTCTGAAAATATGTAGTTGCATCGCACCTCGCTTCACAAACTCAAAAACGATGGCATCCCCAGGCGAAATCTCGTTTGTGCTAACACGAGCTAACCATCCCCGCGCCATCTGCAGACGGTGATCTGCCCTGACATGAAGTTGAGCAGGCCACGATCTTCCGGTCAGATCTTGAAGCGTTAGTCTCGCCACTCGGAAGCCCTGCAACGCTTACTAGTCCTCGAGCTCGGGCTACATGCTTCGGAATCGTCTGCAACAAGGAAAATCGTCAATACCAATGGAAGAACAAAAACACGACGTACATTTTAGAGCAACTGTTTCAGAAACAGAATCGTGCGAAGTAACGACCAAGATACCTAGATTAGATTTCTTCAACGTTTTCATGAAACATGTATTTCTCCGGTTTAAACAAGACGGATCCAGTTGATGATTCTGCTAAATAAACACTTGCAGGTCTCTTTGTGCACGCTTACAGACTTGTTCTCCTAGACTCTGGGGTCCCAAAACCCATGGTCACTTGTCGTTTGATTTTCAACCAATGCTATGTGATCAATTTAATTTTTTTTGTAGTTTCTCCTCTACTGTTTGATTTAAGATCGAATGGTAGATGACCACAATTTTCTTGAACTTCAGGGTCTATGAGAACGGGACTCTTAGTTTAGTGCCATGCTCTTTTTTCTTCGTCAAAGTTCTTAGTGCTCTGCTCAGTGACAATTTCATGGTTAGTCTTGGTACTTTGTTGGTTGAGTCTATTTTCTTCGGCCTGTATTAGTTTTCATGTCTATTTCGGCATCTTATTTGTTGCAACCATTCAAATTGTCATATACTTTTGAACCAGTCGAAGTCGATTATGCTTTAAGAGTAAATAAGCATTAATCAGGACCATGGATCTCATCTTTCAACCAACAATATCCCCCTCTGTACTATCATTCATGTCGATTGCATCAAGAGTGCCGTGCCGATCATACGAAAACTCTGAAGAGTGAGATCCGATTATCGTTACAAGTTTCTCCGTGACACTGAGAATTAAAAGCAAAAACAATGCCTGAGAATGTAGTGACCCTAAACAAATGTACAGCATACACCATCACACCATTACACCAGCAAATCGGTTACTCTCCATCCATTACCAAAAATGCAGAAACTCTACTCTTTAATGCAGCATGCATTATACCAAAGTGAATTCACCAAGGGGAAAACACGTTAAAAGTGATGACAAACGCACATGATTATGCCCGGGGGAAAAGGAAGAAGCGCCTACGCTCACAAAAGACGTTCAGTGAAGTTCTATTAACAATCATATTCATAACAGGAAAGGATGATTAGGTTGCAGATGACAACACTTACCAATGTTTAGTTAGCAGTTGCCATGACATGAAGAACACGATCAGAGAAAAACATAGCGCAAATAGGAAAGCTCACCACAGAACACGTAGTAGGGATGGTTGAGCTGGATCATGTGTCAGAGAGAAGGTACATTTCTGGTAGATTACACAATCGCTATACTACATTTGATGTTCCTTGTCCGCCTAGATGGTCAAATCCCTTTTTACCAACACCGGAAATGTGCACGTGCATTTCATCCTTACCAACAAGCTCAAAAATGCAAACATCTCCAATGTTAATGTCATTTCCGCGTACAAATGCCATCCACCCTCCGCAAAAAGTATGCACCACACGCCCTTTCGAGTCTGGGACAGAGTTCACAGTCCAACATTCCCCCTTTGAGTTTCGAAGCACAATCTCTGTTTTAAAGTTGGGGAGGTATTCTGTGGAAAACTGGTATGGGATTTTCTGCAAAAGAATAACCAGTCTAAGTATGAACCATCCAAAAGCAATCTTCAAAAGAACAATATAAACATGTGTGCGCGAATTGACAAGGCTCACCAATGTATAAGATCCACTGATGTTGAACTTCTTCATGATTTTCACAAAATTCGGGAAACAAGAAGTGAAAGATCGAGCTATTCTTTCTTCATCAAGTGTTAACTTGATTCTCAAACCACTTGATTTTGAATCCAGTTCATCATCAACAACTTTTTTCCTGCGATTAACTGTCTCCATTTTATGGTTCAGAAACCAATTTAAGTTAGAAAAATGAAAGTGCCCTCGACATCAACCACTTTAAGCAATATTATTATCATGTGTTTCTTAAACACGTCGAAAATCTAATTACATTAGCCTGAGTTTGTAGATAAAAGTATAGCATGTTAATCTAGATGAACTTCACGCCATTTCAATAAAAAACATGGATAGCACACATGGCCCCATCTTTGCAAGAACTTGCTTACTTACCCAACTTTTTACTAGCAACTTTTGACTGAGCGAGTGCAGCTTTAGTAAGAGATCTTGATGTGCTGCCATATTTCCTTGTGTCATTAATGAAAGCAGCGTCTTGATCCTTCTTTGATGATAGTTTATCAGCTATCTCTCTTATGCTCTTTGAAAGGACTTTGGGAGAGTTCCCTTTCATTTTCTTTGACAAGCCTTTGATAGTTTTATGCGTAGTGACAGCTAGCCCCGGACTTAACCAACTAGATGTTTCTCCCTTTTGAATGTGGACACAGAATTCAAACTCACGCACAAGTTCAAAAGTGCAGATATCTCCCAGCTGTATGTCATTATAACGAACAAACGCCATCCATCCTCCACAAAGAGTGTGACTGGTATGCACTCTATTACTTGGCACAGAATTGACAGTCCAACTTTCTCCTTTCCAATTTTGAAGGACAATCTTTACTTTGCAGTTTGGTAAATGTGCCACTGAAAATTTATATGGGATATTCTGCAAAACATAAATCAGCCAGTAAAAAATCACTCATACACGCCCACAACCACAAGTGTGAACACACACAAAAGTTCATACAAGAAAAAGAGGCAAAATCTTTAACACTGATAAATCTGTCAGGTGAATCCCATATAGACTTCCATTCCATGTGAAAAAGAAAAAGCAGAATACCGTGGACATTTTCCAAACCCCAAACCTGAACGACGGAATGAGGAACCACGGGCACAACCTCTGGGTGATTGTGGTTAATTCCATCTGGAAACAGTAACATTAAAGCAAGATTTTACATGGTTTGAGGAATTATGGACAAAGAATTGATACCAAATTGGAATCAATAGATTTTTGTTTTTTTTTTATGCATGAGCAGATAATTAAAATGGGACAGCATCTCAAATGAGTGAATTGATGCAACACGTATACCTTATGTAAATAAACAAAACATCCCTCATAAGAAGAAAAAGATACAACAACAAAGCCAGAGGGAAGAACCCACCAGAGTATATGAACCACTGATGTTGAAACTTTTTATGATTCTCACGAAATAAGGATTAGAGGAGCTAAATGATGGAGCTACTTCATGTGCTGATGACATCTGCATACAAAGTCTACCATTAACATTTAATCCATCTCCTTTTCCACACATATTTTGGATCGATTCCTTCGCTTTATATGAAACAACATCCAAACCTGCAAGCAATAATAAAAATATCACCAATGCAACTCTATGTATTCAGTTTTGTTTGCACAGATGTACGTAAAACTTATTATTTCAGGGTTGACATTCTAGTGCATGTGAACTTCATTCTTATGCCTAGATTTTATTACATGAAAACTTGGGCTCGTTCCGTCCTCTCACTCCAAAATAGTTAAAATTATCTGTAATACAAACAACTTGCTATAAGAGGGAAAAGGAGAGAAAGAAAAAGGGGCAGGCTGTGCAGAATTATCTGGTGACCGGAAGGTTGCCTTTGTGTGGAAAGAGCCAATAGATCAGTTGGTTTTCTTACCAGGATTCTCAAGTGGATTTTTTTCTGTGGAACAAGTTGCTTCTTCTCGACCCTCATCAATGCATTCTGACCGGAATTGAGACGAACCGTTTCTAATCTTCTTCACCGCACCATCAACCAGCTTATTCCCAGATGATGCGACCTCCTCCCTTCTCCTTTTTCGTCCCATATACATATACTTGTCAAAGTTCCTGGAGTCTTGCCCGTATCCAAAACGAAATGCAGCCTCTTTCTCACATGCACTTTGATCAAAAATTAGCACGGTGAAACACAAATCACCATCGTATCTAAAAATCAAGAAGTCCCCGCATTCCACATAATGGTCTCTCACAAATGCCGGCCACCCACGATGCAAGAACAAACCACCATTCTGTTGAATCAATTCAACACTCCATTCACTGCCGCTAGGGCCGAACAACGAAACTAACCCAGATGTTCTGCCTTCCATGTGTCTCATGAATCTTTCTGGGATTTTCTGGAGCATGACATTGTATCACCATCCAAAAGTTCAAAAAACACTGAGATTAACCCACCAATATTTTAACTTGGCTAAACTCTGAAGATACAAAAATTATAACTTTTTACAATTTGAGTCTCTCTAGTAACAGAGTAAGATTTTTGCAGGATTACTAATACCAATATGGAATAAACAATTTAACTGTTTACAACTTTAATGCACTAACCCTAATTCCCAAATCCAAAGACACTCACTTTAACATTAATCAGCAGATGTTACACACTAACCCTAATTCCCAACAACCCAGAAGAAAATAAAATTACCCAAACAGATAATGGAAAATCAGAAGAGGGAAGAACAAAATTACCAGTCTTTCAGAGCTCAAATCAGCAGAATAAAACGCAAAAAAATGAGGGCTCCTCACATTCCGAGCTTCCTCTGCCATTGAAATTAGCTCTGCAAGTTTCAAACTCTAGAAAGAAACCAGAATCTCAGTGAAATTTTCCGAGCAACCAAACAGGTCCCAACATTTTCCCTCGGAATTAAAATTAACGAAGCAAAAAGGAACAAAATTTAAGATGCTATTTGTGCTCGTATAACATTATTGGGTTTTTTTATTAAATTTTTTTTTTCTTTTCAATTTCTGGGGAAATTAGAGAGACGAAATTAAAGCCGGTCGCCCTCTCACTTCCTCCAAGAGCTCGTTGGAGGACATGCAGCGTGGTTTCACGCCCGCCGATGTCGCGTGACTTCGCGAAGTCTCTGACTGACAATGCCACGTGCAATGGGGGGTCAGCAAATCTGGTGCTCACTAGTTGGACAAGGATTGTCTGCCCTCCTAGTTGTGGTGCCCTTCCATACCCTCTTATTTTATGCGGTCACGGTTAAGCCACGTCAATATTTTATATTTTAATTATTTTTTGTCTTATTATCTCATTAAAAAATTAATATAAAATATTGACGTGGCTTAACCGTGACCGCACAAAATATGAGAACATGGAAGGGCACCACAACTAGGAGGGCAGACAATCCAAGTCCTCACTAGTTACATACTTAATTTTGCAATCGAGAATTTAGCGAATGGAGAAGCGCCACGTCATCTGGTGGTAATTTGGATCCGTTTAGCGTCAATTAACCGGGTAATTAGAAAGGAAAACTAATTAAAATGGCTTGAAAACTTTGAATTTTAATGATAAGGACAAAATAAAGGGTAAAGTAAATAGTACCAGGATTGACTTTTTAATGTAAAAATATGATTTTTCGTTAAAGTAAACAGTACCGGGTGCTTTTCGTTAAAGTTCCCTAATTAGAATTGATGTCAAATAGCATTTTACTACAGTCGTGGAGACTGGGTGAATTCGAACGTAATCAACTTCCTAATCCATCTAAACAAAGATTCAATAAGAATGTATTTTCAATTTCCAATATCTAGATTGCTACTTCCATTGGACACAATGGCATAGAAAAAACACAGATAAAACATGAAAAAATACTTAAATTATTTTCTACAATAAGCACATAATTAATATTTTTTTTTAGAAAATTGAACCTAAAAATATTTTTTCTAAAAATGCTTTTAGTCATTTTAAAAGAGTTTTCAAACGAGTGCTTACGAAAGTATAGAGAAGATTTAACCATCAAGTCACACGGCATGAGTTTAATCTTCACAATATCCAGAAAACACATCAAATATGACGAGAATTACTTAGGCAGGCGCTTGATAACAACGTCGGGAAACCAAAAACTTCAGAACCAACGGCCGATTAGGATCTGTGGCGGGTTATCTTGACGTCCATGAACGCTGTTGAAATTGAACTGGACATCCGTTTGAGCTTGAATAAGCAGACATCACCATCCTTGAGATTGTTGGATTCACAGAAGTTATACCATCCTTTCGTTTTTATGGCTATACGATTATCAATAGCCTTCCTTCTGGTTCCCCAATGACTTAGGCTCACCGGCCACAATCTTCCGCACGGAGGCCGTTTTCTCTTGCAAACGGTGCAGGAATAGTCTGTCAAAAACACTCGCCAGATTGAGAAAGAATCCGAAAAGAAAAAGAAACTTGAGCGCACTTAATTTACAACTCTGCCTAGGGTTCTAACAATAGCATGCTCGACATGAACAAGATGAAATTAACTTCAAAAAACGTGGAATGGAACACACTCCGTACAGGCAAAGAAAGGTAGACCACTTACTACATAAGCCTTGTTAACAAACCCATGGGTCTTTGCCATTTTTCTCTTGGACTGCTTCCTCGACGTTAACCATTTTGTTGTTTTCAAAAGCCCTTTTCCTGAAAAGTAAGTCCAAAGCAACCACAGTCAGATGCAATGCAACATTATTGAGATATAAGATTGTAAACCGATATAAATCTTGTGGGAAAATGGAAACAAAATCATCTAACCTATGGAACATTGACGATGCTTATAGCTCTGCGCCTTAGAGGAAGTTGCCGTCCTGTTGGCAACTACACCGGAGGCAGGTGGATACTCTTTTGACATCCCAGTATCCCAAAAAGTGCTGTTTTTGGTTTCTTTTCACTCCGACTTCTACAGAAAGCTGGTAGAAGTCGCTGTTCATACGTACAGGAAAACTATCAAACCACATTTCGTAATCATCAGTTTGACAGAAGAGTTTAAATAATTTACGTTTACGTTAATATGGAAGGTTCTACCGGATGTTCAAATCAAGAAGCAAATGATTAGGTACAAATACTAACAAGTATTTTCCGAGCACAAAGTGGTTGAGAATCCATGGATGCTATTGGCTGGAGCTTGTACATTGGGTTCGTACTGTGCAGGCGCGCTACCACTTGCGACGGCGGAAAGCCTGAAACTCTTTCGTCATCGTCTTTGACTTTCTCTACTACGCCGACCGGGAAATTTTAAAGAATCAGAGAAATTGGGCCTATTAAGTTTAATGGGCTTAGTTGATAATAAGAAAAGAAAGGCCCATATTACTGTACGGTATTTGAAGCAACAATTGTTAATTTGCTATTTAGTCCTCACACGGACAAAAGCTAATACCTCTCCATAATAAGTTTTTGATTTTGATGGGATGAATTGTTTTTTTAATTTTTGAAGGCGTTTGGTATGAAGAGAAACGTTGATAGGAATGTTTGACTAGGTCAATTTTCACATGTGACACGATGAGCGAGTTGTGGAGTGAGATTAAAATGCAGAGAATCTCATGCTTTTGTGAGAGGTGTCTTACGAATGACGTGGTCAGACACACAAAAATTTTGTAGTATAATCTGAAAATCATATGCATCAGGAACCATTGGACATGCATTTATGTTTATCTTTTAAATTACATGATTAAGTTGTCTTTCCAATACTAAAGTAAGTCTTTAGTTCAAATCCGACCTACAATGGCTTTTACTATTTGTGACCAATTAGTTCAATTCATCTGATTTCTTTGTTTAAGTGGCGGTGTCAACTTCAACATGCTGCGACGTGTGAGATATTAGAGACAGCCCCTCCTTGACGTCTCGGTTTCATGTAAGTTTTTCTTGTGTTCTTTATACCACCCAAATCAAATACACGAAAAACCCTGGCCACACAAGGCAACACCAGAAATTTAGTTTTGAGAAGACTTGTCCCAGAGGATAAATATTCAGACCAATTTTAATTTATATTTCAAGTTACAAACTACTTTTAACTGAGCTAACACCAGTAACACAAAAAATACAATAAAAGATAAGGCAACAAAAGTAAACAAAATAATCTGCTCACAAGAAAATACTCCTGAGGAGGATCAAAAAGAAGAGACCACACAAAAGCATCCTTTCTTTCACTTCCATTTCCTACAAAATAGATAGAAAAACATCCATACAATTTTTACTTTACAAGTGTTACGTTTCGGATTCCTCCGGTACTGGAGGTAATTCATCCCCTTCGACTTCAGCAAACGACGAATCGAGAAACTTGGCAACAAAAGCCCACATCTTGTATACATCTTCAAAGTTGGTCAAGAATCCGAGCGATGCTGTCACAACTTCGACCCTAAAGAACATGTTCTTACCGCCTTGGCGCCCGTTAACCATTGGCTTGCACAACGATGTGTCTGCCAGATCAAGTCCCCCGCAATGCTGCTGCTTTGGGCCATCCACAATTCGAACATGACTAAGGATGCCAACGCCGAGAGATATACCATTCTTTTCAGCCAATTTTTGTATGACTTCGGGGTGAACTAGCCCTCTGCCGCTGCCCTGTCTGACATTAAAAGCTACAGCGGCACCCCTTTCGTATTTGATCTTAGGACCATATATCTGCACGAGGCACTTCTAAACCTTCATCGGAACCAGGTAACCGAAGTTGAAGCAGCGAGGTGACTAGCCAATTGATGAGATATCGAAGTCTGAGGGTAGTTTTGTTCAGGCCTAACATATTAACATGATCAAGACACCGGCAAACTATCTCAGGCTCCCGCCTTCCCCACTCCTGCTCATCGCCATATTCTCCTTCACTCATAAACTCATCGTCACCAAGGGTAGTCATGGATGTTTCTCCAGGCTCCGATATAAGGCTCGATTTTCCTCTGTGGTTGTCTTCTATGGTAAAAGACACCCTGTGACCCATGCTTAGCTCTCGATCACCTTCTTCTAAACCGAAAAATCTACGACCAGAAAATACCTTTGTTTCCCTTCTTCCCAGAAGTCTGAAGTCACCCTCTGTCTCTCTCCTGATAGCACTGTCTTTTGATTCTTGGCAAATTTCGGAGGTTGAGGAAAGCTCAAAGTTACTGTGTTTAAGACCAGAAGTCTGATTGTTTGGCCTAAATCCATCTTCGGTAGAAAGCAACCTAGAATTGTTGGCCATTGAATCTTCCCTGATTTCGGGTTCTTCTTGAACCTCCCTATCATTTCCTGAGGCAGCGTCGGTTTCAGCAAATAGGTCTCCTTCAGGAATTCCCTTAGCATGGTCCGGCTCATGTGACACCGATAATACAGCAGCATCGAAAGACAAAACAGGATCTCCATGCAGTCTGAGGTGTGCTCTCTTATCATCATCATCATATATTGGGCTCTTTGGCGATTTTGGTGTCACTTTCGGAGAGAAAAACTTGTTGATTTTCCTCCCAGAAAACCACGTTGGTGGTAAGGGCGAACCTGTTTTCTGTCTCATATGTTGGTCAGAATGATCAGAACCGAATGGGCTCTGACCCAAATCAATCCAGTATGAATTGTCTGATGACTCATCCTCACTGATGATTGGACTCTTCATAACCTCCCCAATCGAAATGCTTTCAGCTTCTTCAAATATGGTGCTTCCATCCCTGTCGGAGTCCTGATCCATCTCTGTCTCAAAGCAATCCCTCACCTGATTGGAAGTGAACACACCCGAAAAAGCAGGCATATGAGACCCCCCATGCGTTTCAGGCACTAATTCTTTGTTACTGTGGACCGCATCATTCTCAATTCCACCTAATCCATCAAGACCATCCACAGAGTCACTCAGGTACTGAGGAAAAACAGGAAGAATCCTCACAATTCCAGTACCAGTCCGCCCACCTTGACTTTGCAGGCTCGCCATTACAGATTTCTTGATCAGAAGACAACCAAATCCAGTTGGGTCAGACCCAAAAACCCTGTAAAATGATGTAATAATGAAATCTGGGCGAAAGAGCGACAACCCTAGTGAATCCATGTCTTTAGGACCCAATGACCCGGCATCAAGCAAAACATGCCAATTGTTCTGCTGAGCAAGTGCC